CTTCGTTAGTGACGAGATCTCGTCGTCGAGTCTGCTGTTAGCGGATTAACCCCCTGCTTATATACAACAGTCCTGCACTCTCGGCTGCTGCTTTTTAGTCTGAAGCATTGTTGAAGCAGTGGCGACGCCTAGTGGAAATTTAATAACCACAGGCACTGGCGAAAACCGTCATATTTCGACCTAATCTCGATGAACTTGAGGTGTAGGTGGTATAGACGATTTGGCCAGAGTGGTTCTCGATAAGTAAGGCCCGGTCATTAACTGTTGGGTCCCAGCTTGAGTACCCCAATGCATTCCAGTCCACCCATGAGATTCATTCCCTTGTATGGGCAGCCTAGGATTATGTCCGGTAGATGGCTCCTCTTGGTTATGGACCCGGCTACATAGCTGATGATAAGCTTTCTCTCTGAAGTTAGTACGGTAACCCAGCTCGCAGCAAAGGCTGGCCAAGAGTCTAGTTCTGAACGTGCCTGATAATAGTCTGGGCTTCACTAAGGAATAGGTTATAAAACTATAGAACGATTTTAAACAAACCATCGCTTCAAATAACCTAACCATCCCTAATTTTTCTAGGGTCTCCTAGCCCGCTCAACTGATGTGGCCAATATATAAGGTCAAGGGCTCAACCTGTAATGGATCTTGACGTTTTCGATGTGTGATTGCCATCTCAGCTTTGAATCAAATATGAGACTGAGGAACCGCACCGGTGTCCTATGCAATGGTTTAAGGGTGCTTTGTGCACTCCTTAATCTGCAAAAATGGATACAGTTTTTGATAAAGAGACTGAGAATCCGGCTTTCTCAGCGGTCGCCTCACTACCTCTGTTATTTTTCTTATTTTCTGTTGTTTTCATTCAGAGAAATTCCATTTTTAAATGTGTTATTTCAAACATGGATTATTTTTTCTATTATTTCCCTCATATTACTTACAAATAAAATTATATATGGACCATACGTTGGGTGGTGTTCTAACTTTTTCATTTAATGTTCTCTAAATTTCCACGTATTATCTACTTCCTTTTAGCCTAAAGTTTCTTCTATTTTCTGTAGTTTGTTATGTTTGGTGGTCAGTGTTTTGTCAATATGTTCTTACCACTGGTCACCTTGTAAAATCGCTTAGATAAAAGACGTCATGCCACATTGAAACAAAAACCGCTTCATGAATTTTTGTTAATATTAATGTTTAACAATATTCAATTTTACATTTGATCTATTTCATCTTTTTAATAATTTTTACAGTGTTTTATATGTGCACAATTTAAGTAGGAACTTTTAAAAATCAACTCTTAATAATTATTTTTTCTTTCATCTTGAAAATTCAAATTATTTTCGTCGCCCCTTGGGTTTCGAATTATCAAGAGTTGACTGTATTTATGAAAGTACTCCGTTGACCATAATTTAGGTTAGCTTATTACTAAGACAAATACATCTTATAGCTTGTATATTTGTATGTAGTTCGGTGAAGGAATATCAAGCACTCCGCCGACCACCAGAATGAGTACACTGCACATAGGTGTGAATGTATTTATTTGTGTGATTGTACTCTGTGTGTTAGTTTAGGCTAGATTATATTTTCCATGTGTTCAAGGCTGAAACGACCTAGCTATCAAAAGCCCCTGGAACCTAACTTGGTTAGTGAGGTAGCAAAGACCCAGCAAGCATTTGGCTCAAGGAGAATCCTTGTGACCTAGCTACCAACAGGTATCAGGACAGCACCTTAGGGAGTGATTAAAATAAAAATAAATTGGTGGTGTGGAGTAAAATGTCTTTAAATAGGGTATAGTATTTAAGGGAGTAGAGCAGGGCTGTGTTCTTAGCCCCTTGCTTTTTTATTAAATAAACAATTTAGAGCTATCCTTAGATGACTGATCTTTTCATATATACCACAAGTGCAGTTAAAATAAAGAAAATGAATTCAATTTAAAAGCATACTGTGACTTGTGGGACTAGAGGACATGTCACGCAAATAGTACCACTATTTTGAAGGGTAGGCAGGAGATAACTATTGGTTGTACAAAAACCAGTTATTTTTAGGATGTAATGTACCTTTCTTTCGGTAGGTGGCCCATAATTCTAAAACAAATGTCCAATAAATCTTTACTACTTGGTGTTATCATATTTCTCTTAAAACTATGTTAAATTAAGCAACAATATGACCCATTATCGTCCCCACAAGGCTCCAGTGATAGATACATCACTCAAAATAACCAGGAGTTATATTCAGACTTCAGAATAAAACCATTATCTAAAAAAATACAGAATTGCCATTTTATTTATAAAATAATGTACAATGTTGTTTTTCACAAGAATGGTTTTACAATTTATAAAGAAAAAATTCTGCCATCGTGACAAAATACACATCTAAGTTTTCAGTGATGCTCATTGTTTCGAGTTCTGGTTATAAAACAGAGAAGAAATCTTCGAAAAACATTCCTTGATACAAGGATCTTTATGTTAATGAATAGACAAAGTTGAATGAAAAGTAGAATAATAAAATACCATAGATCTAGAAAACAATAATAAGCTCAAATACGAAACAATGAGACTAGCTGCGTCATACAGTTTCAAACAGTATTGAGCAATATTACACGATAGCTAAGTTTAAAAGGTTCAACTTTAAAAATGGTTCAATAATATTGAATCTCTACTTTAGGTAAACATTTAAAAATGTAATCAGTGAAAAAAGTTCCAGCTAGAGGTAATGTTATAAAACTTTTTTTTTCTTAAATTTATGTTTCAAACCTGGCAGTTTATGTTTACACATTTCCACGGGCTTTTGAAGCACCTTTTCATTTTATAATGTACAATTTCAACTTAGTCTAAAACACACATACTAAAAAACATACTATGTTACATTGAATGTACTTTAAAACAAAATTGATTCAGATTCTGAACTGACAATGGTAACAGTTAAAGAAAGAAAAAACATAAGGGTAAAAAATAATTAAATGTTAATGTTGATCTATCAATACAATTATAATTGTACTTTCTTATTTAGTTTATTAATCTGACTCCAATCTGATTTATTACAGAGTTATTGCTTTTTTCCCATCAACTTAAACATTTTTTGCATCAAATTAACCATTTTTAATTTGAAATTAATGCCTTTTTGTATGGAATTAACCATTTTTAAATTCAAATTAACTTTTTTTCTATTTTTAAAAAACTTATGAAATAGTATGAAATATGAGCATTGTAAAGTAAAATTCCTTTATATTTGAGAATTTTTTTTTAATATAAAATAATTGGGCTCTGTAAACACTATACGAGAATTAAGTGAAATTAAAATTAAAAATTATTTAAAATAAATATAAAAAATTGTGGGTTTTAAGAGCACAATTAATTTATAATTTAAAAAAACATAAATTACAAGATGAAAATTTTTTTTTAAATTTTATTTACCATCACTTCAAATTTTGATTGTATTTAATTTTTTAATCTCAAATTAAAATAAGAATCATTTATTTTTAAATTTAATTTCTTATAATTTCCAATTTAATTGTGATTAATTTTCATACGGCCGTCTAAGAGACTAATGAAATAGAATTTGTTTTTATATGTAATACAATTAATTACGGTTTTTAGATGAGATAAAAAAGTCAATGGCACAAGCGGGATTCGAACCCACGACTTTCGGCTAGATACGCCGCTGCTCTACCACTTGAGCTATCGTGACCTCGATCCAATTGGACACCAACTTCCTATCTCAACCCCACCTTTTTTTAATTTTCCCTCCTTTTTACCATTTTTCAACTTTTTTGCCAACTCAGACTTTTTTATCTCAACTAAAAACCTTAATTAATTGTAATATATTAATTGGTCAAGTGGACCACGAAATTAGTGAATTATATGTAATTTTACATAATTGCTAATTTCAATTATGATTAATTTTTATATGGTCTCAGAGCCTAAATTTTTTAGCCTCATTTTTAATTAATTAATTTTATTTATTACTTATTTATTTTTTATACAAGAATTTTACTTTACATCTCAAGGTTTTTATTTTTAAAGAAAGGGTTAATTTGAAATTAAAAAGTATTAATTTTAAATAAATAGAGACAATTTGAAATTAAAAAGGTCCATTCCAAATTAAAAAGGGTCAATTAGAAATAAAAATGGGATAATTTAAAGTTTTTAATGTAAAATGGTTAATTTAATGTTCGGAATTAAAAAGTCTTAATTTGACTGACAAAAGCTACTTGTTCCTTTTATAATTGACCAATTAGTTTAACTTATGATCACTGAATAAAAAAACCTAAAAAACAGAACTTTGGATGATCACAAAGTCAGTGTACACAAATACAAAAATAAAGATTCATTAAGTTAAATAAAAATGTAAGATATGTAATATGTAAACCTTTTTTTTTATACAAGCACACAAAACGGTGCAGAGGTCTGTCAATTACTAATAGACGTATTCGTACAGTTTTATTTGTTTAAACTAATTTGTCGGGGAGATTTGTGTGCAAAAAACTGCACTCCATAATTTACTAAATTGAACACAGCATATCATTAAGTAGTTTTAAATAATTTTTATACCAAATTTCTAAGATCAATGTATTTGATAAATCACAGACAATTTATAGTACATAAGGATTTTTATTCTATTTAAATAAATTAAGTGGAAAAAAAAGAATTGCCTTGAATTTAAACATCATTAAGTAAAATATGTTAATTAACTCAAGGCTTAGAATACATTCACGGACAATGAAAATATGAATACACCAATAAAATAAAAGGTTTTCTAAGGATACTTTTTTTAATTCTCCCACACCTTGCCATTACTTTAGTCCACAAAGGAATATCCAAAGCACTTAACTAAATTTACAGTCCCAGTTGACTGTTTCCAGTTTATAGAATAGTTTTTTTGTTTTGTTTTTTTAAATTAGGGTCCTGTGTACTTGAAGAATTGTTATTAGAATTTTATCATAGGCACAGATTTTATTATTGCAAAATTAAAATGTTTGCCTTTGATTAGCAGAGTCTGCATTGAGTTCAATCATGAAAGTAATGGAAATTGCCTGCATGTGAAGGATAAGCTCCATTCCAACTAGCTCAGCTTTTCTGTTTTTCATCGTCTGGTTGCATCTTCAGTGAGTTATATTTTATGTATTGACAAAAATTCAATTTTCTTACTGCAACAATTGTTAAATAAAACAATTTTTTTCTCATACTCTTCTGAAAATGTTAAAACAATGGAAATTCGTGAGAGTGCAATCTTTCCCAATAAGATTATTAACAAAATTATATTAAACAATATATTGGGGGGATGTATACAATATAAATATAAGTAAACTAATTTGTTCTGAATTTTAAGTCTAGAAAAGAAAATATCTTTTAAGCATTTCTATTATTAGAAATTGTTCATGTAATTTTTTTATAATCTAAATTACTTTAATAAATGATATGGTTGTATGACAGTTTTAATGACCTGGCAGCCCTCGTATCTCAAACATACCATTTAAAGTTATATGAACATATGCAACACAGAAAACAGCTACTATAATCAACTACAAAAACTTTTTATCTAACAATAATTAAAATAAGAGGAAAATCATCAAATTGTTCACAAATAATATCAGATGGTCCATTTTAAATGTTACGCTAATAACTACAAGGTTCTGACATTTAATGAAGGCAAAAAAAAAGAGAAATTAAATTGATAAATCCAATTTAAATTGATCGGTTGGTGAATTAAATTATTAAATTTTACTTTCAAAATGTAAAAAAAAAATCAATATAACTTTTAACTGACTAGCTAATTTCATTATGACAGTATGAATTTTAATAATTTCAAGGATTCAAGGATGCCCCCGAAAAATTGATCTCTTAAAACAAATAAAAAGCCTATGGGTCTGATTAGTTCCAACACACCCAAAGTAAGTAGATTTAATAATTTAATTTCTTCTCCGACAATACAACTGCAAATCTTCCGAAAATTTTGAAAATCTCTACAAACAATAATGTAAATAATTATAAATAGTGCCTCATAATTTCTATAATTTGTATATGCAAAGACTCAAAGTAAAATTCTTTGGTTTTCAGTCTTTTAAATTATTTTGGTATCATAAATATTAATCTCTATGCGCCTAAATAAATCGAATACACATTTTTAAACCTACTCTTACATATAATATGAAACTAGGAAGAGAATCAAAAGTTTCAATTATGCACAATATGCAGACTGTTATATCAAACGTAGATTTCAAGCATTAAACGGTTCAAAAAACATTCCAAAGCAAAACTACAGTTTTATACATCTCACCCATGAATACTTAAAACATTTTGACATTAGAGAAGATATTTGTTTCTAATATAAAAATTCTAAATAAATTGTTTTAACAAATTTTGAAAGCTATTCTTGTACAAGACCTATTTAGTAATGATTTACTTGTACACTTTTTTTACTAGTAATTTTTTTAAAATAAATTATTTTTTTTAATAAATTCATAATAAATTATGAAATATAAAACCGTTAGTTTTTGTGCAGTTATGTTCTGGCATATTTACCATGCCATTTGTTAACATAAGTAAGAAGCTGCCATTTAAGAGACTGTTATCAATACTTGTTTTGGGGTTTATAATGGCTAATTGAAAGAGAAAAAAATATATATAACTGATAAATGTACAAAATATAACAATTTTTAAACAGTTTCTGTAAATCTTAAATCTTTTTTTACAATGTAGAATTTGTGTTTTTTACCGATTAAACCCAATATGACGGCAACATTTTCAATTACTATGTTAACAGGAATCGTTGCTAAAGCTCCACAGATGCAAAGGCAAAATTTCAATATGCCAAATCTATAAAGTGAGAATGATTTAATAACGCCAAAAATATACATGTAAATACTGACAGCACCGATGAACGCACATAGGAAATCCATTAGCGGGGGGCAGGGGATAGGACAGACAGAAGCGAGTATGATATTTGATGTTGATAGAGGCATAGTTACCCACGAATAACAAGTGATACCTAGTAAAAATTTATTTTTCAATGGTATGTTTTTGTTGTGTACTACCAACAATATACCCTGAAGCCAGCGCTTTCGTTGTTGAACAAAATCCCATAGAGAGAACGGGGATTTCTCCCACATCTCTCCTTCGATGAAGTTAAATGTGTATCCTTGTTTGAATGCTCTCATCGCAAAAAAGCAATCTTCAGCGACCGAGCCATCCAGTCCATTGTCAAATGACACATCTCGCTCAGCTTTCATCTGTAAATACATTAATTTGATTAACTGTTTTAAATTTAATCTTTTTCTTTTGTCTTTCTAACAATTTGACAATAATCTGATTGGAAAAATAAGTCAACTAATATTTTAGTCTATGCAGAGGAAATATAAAGCTTTTTTCCATCAAATGGACCGTTTTTTAATTTCAAATTAACTTTTTTTCATTTAAAATTAACTCTTTTTAACTTCAAATTAACCCTTCTTAATTGCAAATTAACATTTTTAAATTTCAAATTAACCCTTTTGAATTTCAATTTCACCTTTTTTAAATTCAAAGTAACTTTTTAATTCAATTTCACCTTTTTTATTTCAAATTAACTTTTTAAACTCAAATTAACATTTGTTTAATTTCAAATTAACTCTTTTTAACTTCAAATTAATCCTTTTTAATTGCAAATTAATTTTTTTCAATTCAAGTTTACTCTTTTTAACTTCAAATTAACCCTTTTTTCATTTCAAATTAACTCTTTTTTAACTCCAAATTAACCCTTTTTAATTGCAAATTAACATTTTTTTAATTCAATTTTACTTTTTTGAATTTCAAATTAACTTGTTTAACTCAAATTACCCTTTTTTCATTTCAAATTAACCCTTTTTTAAGCATTAAAAAACTTAGGGGATGGTATGAAATATAAGATGAAAAATTCCTATATGCAGTGGACAGCTCATGTTTAAAAAATAAATAAACAATTCAGTGACAGTACATTTAAAGGGCAGTAGTAAACCTTATGGTTTTATCTCAACCTGTTCAAAAGTTCCAATTTTTCTGTTTGATGTTTATTTAAGAAAATCACGTTTCTTTACATAAAACCTGAAATTTCTACACTGTAATGTAACTTTTGATCTTTTTTAATTTCAAATTAACATTTTCTCTTTTTTTAATTCAAATCAACCTTTTTTTATTTCAAATTAACCTTTTTTTCTTTTTTAGACGCTTTTTTACATCAAATCAACCATTTTTTAATTTCACATGAACCCTTTCTCTTTTTTTAGACTTTTTTTCAGTTCAAATCAACTTTTTTTTTCATTTTAAATTAACCTTTTATCTTTTGTAACACTGTTTTTTTATTTGAAATCAACCTTTTTTTAATATTAAATTAACCTTTCTTCTTTTTTTAGACTCTATCACTTCAAATCAACCTTTTTTAATATGAAATTAATTTTTTCTTTTTTTAGACTTGTTTAACTTCAAATTAACACATTTTAATTTCAAATTAACCTTTTTTAAACTCTTTTTTACTTCAAATCGACCTTTTTTTAATTTCAAATTAACTTTTTTTAGATTCTGTTTTACTTCAAATCGACCTATTTTAATTTTGCTATTTGGAAGAACACATTTTAGTTGTGAGTCCACGTGGAACCAAAGGCAACAAAAGAAGTTAAATTCTTTAAAGTGTAAATATGGCATGGATACACTTGCTTTTTTGTTCTTTCGAAGCAATTGTATGATCAGGGTCAGAGGATAGTGCTGCTGTTATCGACTATGAATGCAACGAGAATGGTAGTTTCAGTCAGGTCATCCACGATTCAAAGGATAAAGGATAGTAAGCGTAGTCCGAGTAATCTGATCCTTGTCGGATCCAAAATGACAACTTTGATGAATAATAACGGAGCATTAAGTAGAGAGCTTTTAATCATGATTCTAGGTAGAACCTAAGACAATGAATACAGTCAGATGTTTCAAAACGTAAAAGTGACACAGGTTCAGGGGGTCATTATGATCAATTAACACACGGGCTAGAATTTGGACCCTGAACCACTAGCACGGCAAATACGAATCGGATGTCCTAACCACTCGGCTACCACAATCCCATCATATTTTCAATCATATCACCATTTTTAGCCATATTCATAAAGTATTCATATTGTATAAAATTTCCTGATTATTGGGTTATGTGTTAAAAAAATATTAATTTGACTGCAACATAAAACAATTTGAACAAGCTTAATGGTAGTGATATTATTAACTTATAAAAATAATTATTTTGTGAAATTTTAACAAAATATCAAATTGGGGAAATTCATCAATTGCATATAAACTATAAAACTGATATATTTTTTTACCTGTGTCACAACATAAGAGCCTTTCCAACTCAACAATGGCTTGTGAAAAAATGAAAATTGCATCCTCAATTTTCCCATATCATCAGCGACTCTGAAGCTGTCCGCTAGTGTTGTCACCCAGTTGACCACTTCTTCATTAGCGTACGTTATCAGCCCTTGCCCAAAACAATGTTTTCCATCTAAGACAAAGTTCAGTATCCCTCGGATCGAGTTTTCAGTAAGAAGTGTTTCTTCGTCTAAATGGACAATCCAGTCGTTATCTGATAACACATTGGCATTAACATCTAAACAATACTGAAGTGCACGAGCCTTGAACAAAGCGCCGCTTTTTGTTTTATAATCCTTTGGTACGACTGTTTCTACGATTCTACGATCTTTTGTTAAATTTATAGGCTTATCCGTTACAACTTCTATAATGAAATGTTCTAAACCGGCATCTAGACATTTTGTCAGGTTCCTGTACACATTGGTCCTCACTAATTGCGGATAGTCACCACGAGTTACGATTCTCACGCAAATAAAAGGAGCCAGGAGTGGGCTTCCTTTTAAAACCACTTTCTCAGGGAAAGCATTGTACAATGTCAAACCAGCGAAATTAAGTAGAACTTGTGGCAACGGTAAAAATGCTAACAGTCTCAGCACATAAAGCAAAACAGTTCCTAAAAATCCGTATGTCGCCCATGGATCTATCACCGGCACTTCTTTTGAACTCATTCGCAGCCCTCCGGAGAGTATTTCAAAAACTAGAATCACTGTGAAAAGTAGTAGACAGTGAAGTCCATGTTTTATCACACTCTTCAACATTTCAAATCCTGAAATCAGAAAAGTTTTCCATTAGAAGATAATAATTTAAAATAACTAACAAGAAAGAGTTTGAAAAATATTAACATAATCATATATATGACCTATTTTCAGGACATCCGTACATAGGTCAGCTTGCGGTTGTCATAAAACTGCAACGCAACCTCGGCTCGACTTAAACATGAGGACAGAGGTCCATTTTTGTTCATTCTACTCACGTCTTGCCAAGAGAATTCTAACCATAGAACCATATAAACGGTTTTTTAAATGTGGCATAATGAGTAATTCAAGTGATGAGTGAACATTATCATGTTCTACTGATAACTTCAAATGAAAAGGAGGCGAAAAAAAATGTGTACATCTGTACATTAATAAATTACTGATTAAGCTGCAGAAGAAAAACAATTGAATGCACTTTTGGTATGATGGTAGAAAAAAATCCAAACACTCAATCCAATACAATGCCGAGACCTAAATAAGATCAATGACATAATTAGAGCAGTTTGTATATTTCACAACTATTTTAGAATAAAAGATCGTTCACAATAGAATCTACAAATGTTGGAACAAAATCCCCCCTATTTCGTGGGTTTTACTTACCCAAGTGATTTTATGCCACCACTTCGAGCAAAAATAAATCCTTAATTCAAATGCTTACAGAGAATATTTATACCATTATTTTATGACTTCAATGGCATCACTGCTTGGGCAATATGGAAATACTGTTTTTTCAATGGTTAAATTTTAAATTAAATTAAAATTTTTGAAGTTCGACTTTTAAATTAAATTTAGCTACTGTTTTTTTATGCTTAACTGGCTACACTGTAATGTAACTAAATTAATTGAAAAATTTATTATGTATGTATACTATGTACACATGTGTACATAATTTTTATTTAATTGTTTGGTCATTCTGAAGGTTCTAATATCATCATTAAACATATAGGAGGTTGTATTAATTCGTACAACTCATAAAAAACCGCCTTCACCATTGTTTCCTTTCTGGAATAAGCAAGGAGGGTGTAATTGTACAATTCAGGACGCTTTTCCATATCCTCTACAAATTTTATGTTCGATGCTTCCCATACTAACCCTAATTTTTGCAATGCACTGCAGGTTGCACAAGTCGAATCCAAGTCGTGTTGCAAAAAATTTGAGAACGGAACGAAATGGGGTTGAACTGTGAATGTTTGCCTGCCTATTTACACAGGAAGTTGAGTTATGACAAAACTTGTGTCGAAGTTGCATCGAGCTAACATCGACCCACGTAGGAGGGTCATAATTGGGTAAGGACAATTCTTCGTTTCAAGCTCAGATTCTCGGAGGGCCATATACAGGTCACGCAAAAGCCTCTCTGATGACCACACCCAGTAATGCTGTTAGCTTTTTTATATGATGTTCACTTAGCGTCACAGGGCCTGAACGCAATGATCAGGTCTGGAGGATGGGATATCCCATACGTACTATTGCAGGCTTAAATTAATATCACAATCGACTTTGGTTTATCACTGTCTGATGAAAAAGGCAGTCTGTTAAAGTGAAATACAACGAAAGTTCTTACAAAACTAGGTTTCACAAGTGTAAATCCTGAAAACATTTCTGATAAGCACAAATCGATAATCAAGTGTTTCCAGTCGCTTCCTATCTGTTATCTCATCCCTGAAACTTCATATATACACAGAATGTCAAATCACTGAAGAATTGAGCAATAATCGATATTATTTCGGTGTATTACAACTAGTAATTTATGAAACGGTATAAACACAGTCATAAGTTTTATTTGGACTTGTAAACCGTTGAAAAATGATGTAATCTACCGGACTGTTACGGCTCAGCCAAACTTTGCATTTTTTCACGATAAAATTTATAAATAAAGCTCGTTTTAATTAATATCTTTCTTACCGGAATCAAAGGAGAGACGTCTCACGGTCAATCAGCAAACAATCCGCGTGACACCGGTTCTCCTCATGTCACACCGGGCCCGATTAGATGACCAGTTTTCCCATTTTACACCCTTCTCTCTATAAAAGCCCAATTTCAAATATTTAAACAATTTCAACAATTGGAAATAGTTATTTATCAGTATAATATCCCAACTAGGAATTTTAACCGTAACATTCCCTTTAGGTTACGGTTAATCACTACCCAATGATGCCAACATGAGCGGACTGAGAAACCACACCCACTGACTTCACTTCACACTTCGAATTAAAAAATAATTAATTTATCTACATTATTTAAACTTTAATCACTAATAGTATTAAATAGATAATAAAGTTAAACTATTTTTTTTATATTTTACATTGTTAAATTTATTAACACGATGTACGGAAGGGGCTCATCAATTGAACCTGACGGTTTAGAGGCGTTTCGTACCATTTTTTGGGTTGAATAATAAACTAAAAAAATATTTTAAAAGAACTGATGAATCGTGAAATTCCAACGTCATCCAACGACCGGCTGGAACAACGAAATACGCAGATCCAGCATACACCTACTTAGGAAATTTCCGGTCCGACGTTTAATAGTCTTTAACAACAAATTTCCAAGAACGTGCTTTTTTTATCGTTTTTGAAACATAGTTATGATATCTATGTGAAATAATGAAATGGGGTAGTGTTTTTATAGCAACGCCAAGATTGTTTTCTTATTATCCCTCTATAAAATAAAACAAAACAAATGAAATAACGAAAAGATTTGGAGGACAGTCTAAAGGTGAAAAAATCGATCTGCACCACAAAAACGTAACAGAATTCTTCTTGCAGTAGAAAAGTTGATAGACTATGTTTTAATTGTATAAGGCATTAGTAGACAATACGCATAAAAGATGATAGTCTTCAAGTAGTATAAGGTAAGAAGTATGTTCATCAAGATAATATTCCTATAGACATAATTAAAAAATTCGAAACCATTGGCAATGTCATAGAACATTTAACTCTATAAAATCCTATGTAAATAATCTATTTTTAAAACCTTTTAGAGGAAACAAAACATTCAATATTACAGCATGTCTAATGCAACTGTTCGTTATGGATAGCATCAATTGTTTTAAGCAAGTGGGTGCCACACTGCCTAAACCAGAAAACCATAAATTTATGTTTTCATGAAAGACACTTCCTTGAAGAATTAAAACAATGCATAGTTATCCCAATGTATAAAGGAAAAGGTGATAGAAATAGCGCCAATAGTTAGCCGCTAGTTGATTTTTTGGTCTTAAATATGCTCTTGTGGGTAATCAGTTTAGTTACGGGAATAACATTGTGACATATGTTTCCCATTTAAGGTCGTAATGTAATCAGAAGGACAATGAGTAATGACTCAAATGACAATCTTTAACGTTGCGCAGCTGCCTTATCACACGTTTAGTTTCTCAAGATAGGAGCGACACACCTCTGCTCACGGATGGTCAGTGTTAATCCCGTGAGGTTTGGTGTAGAAGCCACTTATGCACAGATTAAGGTGACTTTTCCCGCTTGCCCCTTCCGGGGAGGTGGGTCAACCATCTATGCACCCGACCGTGGGATGCACAGCTATTGGAAAGCCGCTCACTAGGTACAAAAATGCACCAGTTGACTTTTGCTACTCCTAAAGATGGCTTTCAGTTAATCTTTTTCCTTCTTGGATTTCATTTGATATTATTCTTATTCTTATTCTTAAACCTTTTGCAATGGCTCCAGTCAGGCATTTGTGTGAGTATGTCAATGTCAGGGTCATAATATTATTCGAGGAAGTATACAGCCAGCTCGAAGTCGCCAGGAGACTGAGTGTAAATTACCTTATAATAGGAAAGGTTCTTCAGGGTTCTGAGAAACAGGGCTTCGCACTAGAAGGCCAGGACAGGGTCGACCTAGGTCTGCGGACGAGAGAGACGATAGATTCTCCGACATCAGGCTTTACGAAACTGAAGAATTACGGGAATTGCGATAAGAAATCTGATAAGACAATCCAAAATGTTTCGATTTCCTGCAGGTCTGTAAGAAGAAAGCTCAATGAAAATACCCTCAGGGCACGGTACACGGCTCATGGACCCCTTCTTACCTAAGCTCAGAAAATGACCAGGCTTTCAATTCTCACGGGAACATGTGAATTGTACTTTGAAAGATTGGGAACCAAATCTCGTTACTAACGAGGTGAGAGTTACCCTCTAATCGTCAGATGGGCGTAATTTCATATGGAGATGCTCAGGAGATAGGTGCGCCCCATGCTGTATGTCTCCTCAGGTGGCATTCCACGGTGGGTCATTGATGTTCTGGGGTCACTTTTCCTTGGACGCCCACACCGAATTGGTTGTTGTCCGAAGAAGATCTCTAACTTCGCAAAGGTACTTACAAGACGTAATAGAAGAACGTAGGGCCATTTGCCCCTACATCGGTGAATGCAGGGTAATGCTAAGCCCCATAGAGCACCTATTATGGTTGACTACCTGAATGAGGTTGGGATTGAGTGCTTGATGTGGCCAGCTCGAAGTCCAGTTTTGAACCCAATCGAACACATATTGGACCAACTTAAGCGATGAGTACGACGGCGAAACCCAAGTGTAACACTTTCTAGAGTTGGTAACTTCTCTGTTCTTGATGGTTGGGATAGAATTCCTCAAGATTTTTTTTTTTTTTTTAAAGAATTAGGTAATAAAACATTTCTTCCAAATATCTTATTTTTACAACCAAACCTATTTTTGGTATGCAAAGTATGAATAAACCTAAATACATCATCGTGAGAGTCTCAATAGGACACTCAATAATGACACATCTACACGGAAAATGTTGGCACGATAAAGAATGTTTTTCTGAAACCTACTTCACACCAGACCGCATCTCACGATCTACATACATTAAGTAACGGTCGCTAAATACCACACATTAATTTATAGACTTTAAAAGGTGTTAAAAATGAATCCGAATTGGTTTTTTCGCCTACTTTACTACGTTTTTTTGACATTTTATATATCTAATCTCATTTAATACGATTCTCCTTACTATTTTATTATCCTACATAAAAAATGAATGATATATATATATATATATATAATAAAAAAAATGTAAATTGTTTATACTTGTTTTCTTCCGCTCCTAGGGCCCATTGGTACCATTTCATTAAAATCAATGATCCCACGCCCGTATACGTAGGGTGTAAACTTACTAGAGACCCCCATGGTTTTCTAAAAAAACAAAGCCTAGAAAAAAAATTGTCATAAGCTCTACTTGTAAACACAATTTTCACAATAATTACGGGCTTGTTCAATATTTAAAAAAAAAGTTAAAAAGTATAACTTTTTATTACAATTAATTAAGGTTTTTAGTTGAGATGAAAAAAAGTTAATGGCACGAGCGAGATTCGAACCCACGATCTTCGGCTAGATACGCCGCTGCTCTACCACTTGAGCTATCGTGACCTCGATCCACTCGGACATCAACTTCCTATCTCAACCCCACCTTTTTGAGTTTTCCCTCCTTTTTGCCATTTTTTTTCATCTCAACTAAAAACCTTAATTAATTGTAATGTATTAATTGATCAAGCGGACCACGAAATTAGTGAAAATAACTTTTTATTTTCAAATGGTAACCTACATTTTCGTTTAATTAAATTAATAATTTTTTTTTTAAATTTGCAAATAGAGCTTTAAGCCCCCTAACTTGTACATATGTTAGAAACAAATTTTGTATTATAAGCATAGAAAATAATAATAATCGCAATGCTTATAATAATAATAATAATAAAACATATAATAAAATATACAAAGCTATAATGACATTAATATATTCTATAAAATATTAATTATTTATAATCGATAGATGAAACCACATTAGGAAAGGAAAGCAGAAAGAAAAGAAAGGTAAGAGGAAACGGAAAAAGGAAAAGGAAGAGGGAAGAAAAGGAAAGATTCATGTCATTTTTAAAACCTCAGACGCCATGGGCCTAAATTCCATAGTCTTGACCCTGCAATTCTGAAGAATAAGGCTAAAGTTTTAGAGTTGCTTTGAAGGCTTTGGATACGACCGGTGCGTTGGGATAAGAAATGAAGGAAAAAAGTTGATAGATAATGAAGACATTTATTTGATTTAATTTTAAATATGTATATTAAAACTCTGAGTTTGTACGTGCTTAATTTGCTGGTCAATCAAAATCTATTATATTATAAATGCATTTATCTCCATGTTCGATTTTACATATATTAATTTCAAATTTCTCAAACCAATCCAATTCTCTTCCTTTTTAGAAACGGTGTAGCACTGTTGTATTTAAATTTAAATTGTGTTTTGTCTCATTTAGGCGGTTCTTAAATTTGTCTCCAGCTATTTCAAAACCGATCATCACTACAACGATAAGTACATGGACGATCCTCCTGTATGGACTCATCCTACTACTACCTGGGTATGGAATCACCCGGTATATCTTCGCACGACAGCAACTTGCAGCAGCTGCCGCCTCCGAAAACCAACATTCTCCGAATGTTTCATCTAGGGGTTGAGGAGTTACGTCTCCGTTTTAATAACGAGACTTCTTTTAAACAATACTTATCTCAGTGTTTAGGAACGTATGGACTCAACAATTGCCCCTTCTTTCAATTGTTCCCATTAGATAAGCTTGCTATTCGTAGTTAGTTGTTAGTTACAGGACAGTTAACAGACAGTAAAGATCCGAATATTTAATTGTTATAGAATAATCTGTACCGTGTATAGGAAAGTTATTCTCTGTAACCATTGTGTGTTATTTGGCAATACAGATTCTTTTTTAAAAAGTCTTTCGTCTAAATCTCGCACATAACTGGCGCAGTCGGTAGGACACTTTTCGGGTTTGATGAATACGAACTTTACTGTATTAACAGTTAGAAAATCCTAAACCACGTTCATCGGGAACATCCAACTCAAGAACATCAGCGACTACTCAGAAATGATTGAAATGTGAGTAAATAAATTGTATCGCATGTTATAAAACTCTTGGTTTCACAATTTAATTTAGCAATTCTATTTTATTGTTATTGTAAAATTGTTTAAATTTTTTATAATATTACTATTGTTATTCTTAACACTAACATGGCTAACTTGGCGGAATTAAGATTTATTTTGAATGCCATCCTCACTTATGATGGCAACCGAAAAACACTAACACAGTTTATTATGAAGTTTGAAGAGTTTCCGAATTAGTAGCTCCAATATCAGACCCTCAGAAAACGAAATGCTGTATTAAAGGTAAATTAGTAAATAAGGCCAACGAACATTTAAGAAATTTAAATTTCCAAGATTGGTCAACATTAAAATCACATTTATTAACTGAATTTGGAGACAGGCAAGGTCCAGCTAGTATCCTGGTTGACCTGTTGAAATTAAATGTAAAATCCCCTTTGCGAACATTGAATGAAATTAAGGAATGAATGATTTATTCCGAGCTAAAATACAGCTGGAAGACGGTACAGACAACGAAAAATTATATTTGATAAGATTTCAGGAACAAGTAGTGGCCACCAATTTTATAAGTAGTCTTACAGACCCTTTAAGAAATAACCTAGCCACTAGTAATCCTAAAACCTTGTCAGACATTGAAAAGTTAATGTTAAACGACTTCCAGTATATGCAGAGAATAGACCAACAACCGATCCAACAACATAGACAAAATACAAATCAAAAACAAAATTTCAAACCACACGAATTTACACAAAGACCCATTCAATTCAACAAACCATCCATCACAAATTAAACAAAATTTCACTCCATTTTCACAAAGTAACCAAGAAACACCCATGAGCATCTCAACAAGAAACTCTTTTCAAAAACCACGAGTTTTCCAGATGTATGCTAGGGAACAACCACCCAAAAATTCCATAGATGAATCCTTTAACCTAAGAAATCTGGGTATGGAATCACCCGGTATATCTTCGCACGACAGCAACTTGCAGCAGCTGCCGCCTCCGAAAACCAACATTCTCCGAATGTTTCATCTAAGGGTGGAGGAGTTACGTCTCCGTTTTAATAACGAGACTTCTTTTAAACAATACTTATCTCAGTGTTTAGGAACGTGTGGACTCAACAATTGCCCCTTCTTTCAATTGTTCCCATTAGATAAGCTTGCTATTCGTAGTTAGTTGTTAGTTACAGGACAGTTAACAGACAGTAAAGATCCGAATATTTAATTGTTATAGAATAATCTGTACCGTGAATAGGAAAGTTATTCTCTGTAACCATTGTGTGTTATTTGGTAATAAAGATTCTTTTTTAAAAAGTCTTTCGTCTAAATCTCGCACATAACTTATATATATATTTAATGTCCCAATCATTACAGTTAAGTTGGTACACCCTTTTTCGCAAAGTCGTCACCTTGTCTTTAGGTTTTGAGAGGATGGGTGGGTAGCTGTGTCCCGTGCCCTGATGTTATTTTCATTGGGCTTCTTCTTACAGTTTTGGAGCAAATCGAAACATTTTGGACTTGTCTTATCAGATTTCTTATCTCATTTTCCGTAATTTCGTAGAGCCTGATGGCAGATGAATCTATCGTCCCTCTCGTCCGCAGACCTAGGTCCACCCTGTCCTGGTCTTTTCGTGCGAGCCCTGTTTCTCTGAAGCCCCGAATCGTCGTGTTGAGAGTGACACGCATGAATGGCACAATTACACAGAAGACAAACACTTTGAGCGCTGAAGATGATCTCAATAAAGATCGAAACGTTAGCACGATAAAGAAAATGTTTTTCTGAAACCCACATCTCACCAGACCGCATCTCACGATTTCTGAATAGTTATGATCAATTTTGTCGAAGGACTTTGAAAACTCTACATATACGGAATCCACCTGACAACCATCGTATATTTGTACAAATAGAAGTTGGACATGTTGGAGGAACAAAAATTAGCATCAACAGTTGTAGAGATGACAGAACTATTGCTTTCGTATACTTTTGAAAAGTGCTTGGCAAAGTAATTGGCAATAATGGATCCATCAGAAGAAAAATTAACACCATAGTTAATTCCATAGTAAACAATGTATTTCTAGACGAAATAAACTCCCATTGTCAGGAATTCTATACTATATTCAAAGATGGATCAAAATCCCAAGATGGTGTGGGCTGTGCGATCTATGATTCTAATTTGAATTATAAAGAACAGTACAAGCTTCCAAATTCTAGTTCGGTATATTCCCGCGAGTGTTATGCTATCCTAAAAGCCGTTAAGTACGCCCGAAAGTTAGTAAACCAAACAAAAATTCTAATTCTATCTGATAGTAGAAGTGCACTGCTAAAAATAAAACTTTCTTAATTAGAAACTTCATCGAATCCCATAATAGTAGAATTATTGCACAACCACTACATCAAGAAGGAAAAAAAAAACAAATACTAAACTGATTTGGGTTATTGCGCACTGCGGAATTAAAACCAATGAGATTGTCGATACCCTCGCCTAACAAGCAGTCACTGAAGGTACGAACGGCTTTAAATCGGCGAAGGTCTGATGCTTTCATTGAAAAAAAAAAAAAACTCCATCGAAATGTATAGCAGATTAGGTACTCTGAGTCCCCAAAAGGTAAATTTTTTAAATCTATTCAGCCAGAAATACCGTCATTACCGTGGTATGTAGGGCGTACAATGCCAAAAAAAGACCATGCAAAACCATCTTCAGACTACGTTTTGACTGTGCACTATGTGAAAAGTACCTTTACAAAATAGGACTAAAAGATAGCCCGATAAGCGATGAGTGCGGAGAAGAAGAAACAATGGAACCCCTTATTATGAGCTGCCCAAGTTTCCACAGGAAACGACAATATTTTTTCAAAAAATTATCACGTTTAGTTCCCCTTCCTTTCAACTATTGAAAGCTGTTAGGTTCTAAAAACTTAGCAGTGTACTTATGTATACAATTGTTTCTAAATGACATAGAATATGAGGTATAAAACATGATATGTCTAAATTAAAATTAAATAGTTAACATGGCTAAGGCTGCATAGCCCCCTCCTCCCCAAAAAAAAAAACACAATACTTCATATTGGAGGGAATAGGAGAAAACTGTTTCGTTGAATTTAATTATATCAATTGCAATTAAATTATTATATTATTTTATTTTATTGGCAATAATGGATCCATCATACTTCGTATGGGAGGGAATAGCAGAAGACTGTTTCGTAGAATTTAATTATATCAATTATATATTATGCAGGGTGGACGACCAAGACCCGAGGGGTTAAATGCCTGGGTAGACTCGTACCCCATGATTATATCAATTACAATTAAATTATTATTTTCTTTTATTGGCAATAATGGATCCATTAGAAGAAGAATTAACACCATACTTCATATGGGAGGGAATAGCAGAAGACTGTTTCGTCGATTTAAATTAATTACAATTAATCATTAAATTAATTTATTAGTTTAATTACTTAAATTATTAATTAATTTAATTAAATTAGCAATAATGGATTCATCAGACGAAGAATTAACTCCACACTTTATATGGGAGGGAATAGCATAAGGCCGTTTCGGGGAAATTAAATAAATTAAACTATTAAATTATTTATAATTAATTTATTATTTTAATTAAGTAACTTATGAATTAATTTAATTTAATTGGCATTAATGGAGTCATCAGAAGAAGAATTAACACCATACTTCATATGGGAGGGAATAGCGGAAGAATTTAATTAAAGTAATTAAGATTAAATTATTGATTAAATTAGGATTAAATTTAATTTAATTGGCAATAATATCGAAGAAAAAATTTGAACAAGTGCTATATATATTGGAATCCGACGGTTTATCAGTATTATTTTTACAATTGGGTGCCAAACCGGGTAAATTACAGATCCTAAAATAATTATAAAATAAACTAAGAAGATATTTTAATGTTGAGTAAAATCTTTTTAGCTAATTGAATTATGCATTTTAGAAAAGCCATTCTACTAGGAATTTTGATTTTAGAAATGGCGTTGATCATAAAAGCTGCCCTTCTGAGAGGTTTTTTGTTTTCGAGATATGTACATACTTATGTTAGGCCATGTCTTGTCAAAAATTCTGGTGAAGAAGTAAAAACAATGAATTTTGGGCTGCTGTAGGAAGGAAGTCCATGTCTCGACCACCTGCAACCGCTAAAAAACGCTCGTCGATTTGAGCTTTGAGGTCAAACCCGATGGCCCCAATGGCCGATGGAGCCACACCAGTTTCAAAGTGTAGCTGTTACGACATAAATTCGTGAGGATGGTGGGTCGGAGGGTGTCTTTCATGAGGGAAGGGATAGGTGGTTTCGTTCCGAGGGTGGGACGAGTCGAACGATTGGTGGACGCGGTGGTTGCGGTCCGGAGGCGGGTGTTGCGCTACCTCGCAGTAACGCCCTTCGGCCAAGCCCCGCCTTCCGCCGACTGGGAAAAATCCCTCTCAGCTTGCCTCAGTCGTATGCCGTTCGTTGGTGACGTCCTATGTCCGAGGGCCGTGACGTCGTGTCATTCACATACTGAAGAGTGAGAAACGAAATGCGACTGTCCACGTTTGACATGTGACCCGTTTCGATCCGGGGTTCGGACTATGTAGATAAATGTTATGGTGAATTCTCCGTGAGTGAGGTTTTTAGACTAGTGGACGCCGGGTTGAGGTACTGGATTGTCGATCGGAAGAAATGCTCGGGGCTCAGCAGTCGCCGTCCGGAGGTGGGCCTCTTCTTCCCAGTTTCGGATTCACGCAGGACCAGGTCGCCTGCGTCTGCGAAGTCCTCCAGCAGGCCGGCAACATGGACAGGCTGGGCAGGTTCCTCTGGTCGCTGCCCGCCTGCGAAAAACTCCACAGCAACGAGAGCGTCCTCAAAGCGAAGGCCATGGTCGCCTTCCACAGAGGCAATTTCAAAGAACTATATAGGATTTTAGAAAGCCATCAGTTTTCAGTGCACAACCACGCCAAACTCCAGGCTCTATGGCTCAAGGCGCATTACGTCGAAGCGGAAAAACTGAGGGGGAGACCTCTCGGCGCCGTCGGCAAATACAGAGTACGACGGAAATTCCCCCTGCCTAGGACCATCTGGGACGGAGAAGAGACCTCTTACTGCTTCAAAGAGAAATCCAGATCCGTTTTAAGGGATTGGTATGCTCACAACCCCTATCCCAGCCCGAGGGAGAAAAGGGAACTGGCCGAAGCGACCGGCCTCACCACCACACAAGTCTCAAATTGGTTCAAAAACAGGCGGCAACGTGATAGAGCCGCAGAACACAAAGACGGGTAAATAGACTCTTTTCTCTTTAGCCTTAAATATTTACTAACAACCAGGAAGGACGACACATCTCTCAAAATAGTTAATTAATTTAATTTTTATAAATTATTAAAATGATGAAACTACGTAATAAACTGCTACTAAAACCAGTACTGGTTTCTTTTCATCATAGGAAAAAAATTACTAACAGCTTTTTTATCTATGAAGCTTTTCTTTTAGCCTGAAATTAAAAATACAAAAAACAGTTTACAACTTTTTTCACTAATTGGCAAATTTATCTTTGTGATAGCAGAACCGTAAATTTCGATCAAAAAGTAATACAAAGTCTGTTTGAGGGGACACCACCGTTTATAGGACAGTCGTAGATGCACCGCGGAGATTTTTTACATAACTAATATCTCTATGTAGCGTCTCTAAATAAAGGACGAGGGTGAAACTACGTTATAAATTTGCTATTTTGACCGATGGCAACTAGTTCCTCTTTTAAAATAGGACATAAATTCACAGGCAAAAAATTGTTTTATTTATGGAACTTTTCTTTTAGCCGGACATTAACACAAATAAAGGAAGGATACGTACATCCTTAACAAAGGATCTGATAAAAATCTTCAAGATGAAAGAAGAACTCAACATAACAATTGCACAAAAGACCGATAATGGTCGCGCAAGGGAATAAAAGACGCCGACTTCTAATATCCTACAACCTATAACCTACAAGTAAAAGTAGACTTCTCGATTTTCTCACCTGTGCCATCTGGATCGATATGCCACCCGGATCTTACAACACAGTTAGCTGCCCTACCACCTCAGTTTGTCTATTACACTATATTTCATTTTTAAAAACCGTGCCTATAACAATTATCCTTCTAAGAATTTGGGATACGATAAAACGCCTTAAGCTTACCAAAAAGAGATGTTTTTCTCCAGTTCCGTATGGTCCATTCGAGTCCTAAATAATAATGGAGAGTGCACAATAGACCAATATTGGTCGCGCAAGATCGTAGAAGAGGCCGATTTCTACAACCTGCAACCAATAAAATTTAATTAACAATTATAGCCTTTTAAGTGGCTTACACCGCTGCAGTCTAGGTGCACATGCTGTCTAGATCTTTTGAGTTTTAAATAATAACGTAGATTGCACCATAGACCAAAATTGCACGCAGGGGGTTGTAAAAAGGTCGACTACTAATATCCTATAATTTTTAACCTTTAACTAACAATTATAGCGTTCTAAGATGGTTATAATTTGTGCTTTCTAGATGGTCATGTCTTTTCGATCTTTGGAGCTTTACATAATAATGGAGATTGCGCAATAGACCAAAATTAATAGACAATAGAAGGCAGTAGACGCAAGGTCGTAAAGAAGGCCGACGTCATTTGGGAATTACAGCTGCATCCCAAATTATTCACACAGGAAAAAAAAACAGGCTAACGTCTTTTTAGCATACTATTTAGATTTTTTACATGCTCTTGATGAAAAGTTACAACAGGTGTACCCTGTGTTAAAAAGGCGACACTCGCTTTCGGTCCGAAAGCCAGTTTTTCATGAAGATAACGGCCGCACGGACATTTACCATAGACCCAATATTGGTCGCGCAAGATCGTCGAAGAGGCCGATTTCTATAACCTACAACCAAAAAAATACAATTAACGATTATAGACTTTTAAGGTGTCTTACACCACTACCGTCTAGGTGGACAGCTGTCTAGATCTTTAGAGTTTTAAATAATAACGTAGATTGTTTAAGATGGTTAAAAAGTGCAACGTTTTAGAATAGGGTAAAAATTTGTTAATTGCTTTATTTATGGATTTTCTCCTCCTTTTCCTTCCTTTTCTCACCAATTGGCAAATTTATTATTCGACCAAAAATTAGTACAAAGTCTGTTTGAAGGGCCACCTCCGTATAAAGGACAGTCGTAGATGCACCGAGGAGATTTTTTACATAATTAATATCTCTATATAGCGTCTCTAAATAAAGGACGGGGGTGAAACTACGTAATAAATTTGCTATTTTGACCGATGACAACTAGTTCCTCTTTTAAAATAGGACAAAAATTTGCTGGCAAAAAATTTGTTTATTGCTTTATCTATGGAGTATAAAACAAAGTAAATAACATTGTTCAGCATAGTAAATACAGTTTGCCGTACACGAATAATAATAGCCCAAGAAAACAGAAATAAAAGTATAAATAGTAAAACAAATTATTTTTAAAAAGTCACATAACAATCAATAATCTGTGCTAATTTTATCAGTCTTATCTGTCTAGGCTATACTAGGCTATCACTAGAAAAAAAATGAATCCTTTACAAGCCAAAAGAAAATATTTCGCGGTAAAAATGAAATTTTCAAGTACTAAAACTTCAAAAATGAAGAATATGGTGATAATACACCAGAGCACAGACACCAACTGACAATGCGGTTGCGAATAATTCATAAGTCTTATGAATTTTAAAGCAAATAGATTCCTTCGATAAATGGAATTATCCATAATAATAATCCATGAAATAACACACAGTTCAAAGGGCGTGAAATGACCTTAGCCGTTAAAGCGCCCTTAAAAATTAATAATAATAACACACAGTTGAAAGTGTTTAATTAGCACTTAAATTGAAGTGTTAATAAAGGAGAATCTTGAGTCGAATTGTTAAACCACTTTGTAATCTCAATTTTCAGCCAGTTCCTACTTTCATCTTATAAAATGTTTGATCAAATTGTTCTGTACGTTAGTACGTTCATGGTTAATTCGTCATAGTGCTTCTATTTTAATTTTACACCAATAGGAATTTCATCTGCCATGAGTTAAAGATCTGTTACGTCGTTTGATATCTTCCATGATAATGAGCACTGCACTTCTTTGTGCTTTTCGATTTTTTTTTCCAATGCTTCTGTTTTGTATGGCTTCACCAAATAAGAACAAATACTTCTAATCGATCCTTCTGCTGCAGTAAATACTACTCCAGGTGCCAAGGGTTAATAAAGCATTGAAACCGGCGCATTCCCCGTGTTTAATTTTATTAAAATTGTCGTTCATGACTAGGTTGAGTTTCTATTGAATTTAATTGTACTGCTCATCTTCCTAATTACGGATACTGAGTGTTCTCTTTGGTAGGCACATTTTGTTTGCTAGTCTTGTCCGATTCTTACTAGATTTGGTGTTACCGGTGTTCAGGGTGGCAAGGTTTACAAATTAGATTTTCGATTCCAGCTCTGACAGGAGGTCATTCAAAAGTACTGTCATGAGTGAACCCTAAGGGCGTCCCATCGTGATGGTTCTTACAGATCCTTACAGAGATAACTTCTTTCCAAAAAGGATGTTACTAAATACCCTTAGAAGGTTTTTTTGATGTTGGCCAATGAAGTCCATGTCAACCATGGTTTTTGTGTTTGACTTAATTTTAACGCGTACATGTTGTCGCTTTGTGGTGGAACATGTTATTGGCACCTTCTTAGCATTAGCTTTTCTAATATTGGCAGTAAAGAATGAGACTATAAATTGGATGGTCAGCTGGTCTGATATTTATACTATGAGATGATGTATGTACCCTGCGGTCCCGTGAATTAAAGATCCGATGTGGACATTGCTCGATATCCTTGCATGATTATAAGCAATAAACTTCTTTGTGTGATTTTCATTTTTTCCCTAATGCTTCTGTTTTGCATGATTCCTGAAGAATCCTTCTGATGCGGTAACTGATGCCCCAGGTGCCAAGTTTAGAGTTCGTTGGTCATTGCCACGCCAGGTATGTTGGGTTGATGTAGCACTTAATATTCTACTGCCCATTTTAATTACATGTGGCTACGGATGTTCCCTTTAGTATGCCTATTATTGTTATGCCAATCACATTATCTAAATTGAGTCTGTATGGTCTGTGCTGTGCTTTTCCGATTTATTTCAGGGTTGCTTTTGTTTATCCAATGATCAACGTCGCAAGGACATAAACGCTCCTGTAGCTCCCAGCTCTAACAGACGTCAAACAGTACCGTCATCAGAGGAGCTTGGGAGGACATCCCTTCTTATTATCAGTTTTTCTAATTCCTAATATTGACAGTAGGGAGATGACTGGATGGCCAGCTGGTCTACCATTTTACACCATGAGCTAATGTAAAGTTCTGTTGAGTTACGTTTATGGTGTTCTGGTGTCCTAGATAGTGAATTTTCTATATACCAGGTTGAGGACTATTTTTTTATCAATGGGTTTGCCGATTGCTACTTAGTTAAAATGTTGATAATATTCCAGTGATTTAATTGTATTTTGTTGAGGTTCTGCTTTACCTGGTACATTCCGATCATCCTAGTCTGACTATTGCAGTTTCTCCGTTTTTAGTCGGTGATTGGTCTCCGTGTTGTTTTGTCAGTCGTGTCCCTTTTTATTGGTTTGAAAATGCATGAAAATTCCAGACAGATGACATCGGCCAAGCGGGTCAGATATAGCAAATAAGCATTCTGGGGCAATCTTAAACGACAAGCCATATGGAACGTGTATAACTTCTTAACACTTTCCTGTCCAAATCTTGCAAGGGGATTGTTCCGATGGTAGAACTAATTCTCTAGAAATGTGTAGAGATTAGTGACTGTTAATCGATAGTTATTCAGATATCGTGAGATGCGGTCGGCTGTGACTTGACTGACAGGGGCACTCTCAACACGACACGCAAGGATGGCACAATTACACAGAAGACAAACACTTTGAGCCCTGAAGATGATCTCAATAAAAGATCGAAACGTTGGCACGATAAAGAAAATGTTTTTCTGAAACCTACATCACACCCGACCGCATCTCACGATATCTGAATAACTAATTCTCTAGGTTTGACCATGTCCATGACTGTAATACAAGAAATACAAAGCGAAACTTTGACCCGTTTTACAACGTACGTCGGCCCGTTTGGCCATGTGCTTCACCTCGGGAATTATTCCAAGGCTGTATATAGGATTATATTTTTAAAACAGAATGAAATCATTTCAGACAGTCCCGGGCCTATCTTTCCCAAATCCCTTTTTAACAA